GTTGTTTTCATTCGTGTGTGTGCATGCTTACCAGCGTATTAGACATCTAGCCAATTATTGCCTGACTTAGTCAGGCTTCATTAAATTAAGTTGGTTCACTCACCGCTGCTTCGCCTCACTTCGACTTAGCGCTTCGTATTCGCATGTCTGCCTGTGTGGGCGACTGCATGAAACGAATTCATCTGCAAAACTGTATTTGGCTTCGTATTACTACAGTTGCACAAGCGGGGTTCGCTTAATTATGATATACAGAAATGAAGGGAAGATTTATTCCATAGCATATTCGATCACTTGCACAAATTTAAGTTAGATCGCTGGTCACTAAAGTGGTGAGCCCTATTTCGAATTTCACGCAGCCACTAAAAATTATTAATAATGAGTAGAATTATTATCAGTTACAAGGTCATAATTATAATATCAATTTTTTAAGAAAGAATTTTTTAACAACCATATCGTTCAGTGAATAGAAAAAGTCACAAAGAACTAGTAATATTTAAATATGTAATTTATTTATTGACTACTACACACCACAGCTGTTATCAAATCTGTTTCAGTCAACATGATTTTTAAAACAACTGTCAACAAAAATCCAATTTTTAAAGTCTGAAAATGTTTAAAAATTATTTTTCATATGACAGACAAATTTTTTTCTAAGACAAAATGTAAATTTCTCTAAATCAAATATTAAATAGAAGTAATCTGTCATAGAAATCTTGTACTATTGTGTGATTTTGCAATTTCTAATCTTAAACTTACTGTTTGTGTAAAAAGTTTTAGAACTATTACTAAAATTCCATTTTTTGTTTGCTAATCGAATTCCTACAAGACTAATTTAAATCAAACTTCGATTACATCTATTTGTCTGAAACACGACAGTTACTTCTTTTGTGTATCATCAAATATTAGTTTTTGCTGTAAAATTACTAATCTGTTTAATATTATTATTTTCCATCGGTTTGTATTTAACATCTTTTGACTGGTAGAGTTAGGAATATAATTTATCAGCTTCATGGTGAAGATGATTTCAATAAACGTTATTAATTTGAGCCAATATATAATCCGTTCTAATTCACCCTACATCTCACCATCGGAATAAAATCAACTAAAAACTCGTTTAGCTTGTAAGAAAGAGTTTTGGCATTGTTCACCGAATCTAATAGTGTTTATTCGATAAATATTTGTGTTGACTGATTTATATATCATGTTTATATTAAATAAAACCCATTATTTCACTATTATCATACTTGTAATGAATTTTTGTGTGTTGGAACTTTGTTCAAACTGAATGTGTAATTGTTTTAGTCACCTTGTGGTATATTTTGAGAGACTGTTTGTAGTAGTATAGAAAGCATTGTCGTGATTAGAATTTCTGAATCTTGGATTTACTGTGATTGAGTATTAATAGAAGTTGGATTTCATAGTTGAATTTCAACTCATACTTCAAACTCTAAAAAAGAACTCAAATTTCCATAGAGCCTGAGATTATCATTAACATTTACATCGTTATCCCAAAGGGTTTTACCGAACATTTTGAATCGTTTTTTCACTATCTAGCGAATGAGTGCTTCATATTAGAGAGTAGTTGTAATTGATAATTTCATTCTAGACAAATGGATTATTCACAAGTGTCTGGTATGTACATATTAAGTGTTGCGCATCCTGTCATTTTCCATGAATAGCACAAGTATGGTAAAAGCTAAAATTTAGAATGAAGTGCTCACTAAAAATTATAGTCTAAAATACCGCACTGATTAATTGAGTGAACAGAGAACTAAATGAAAATGCTCGGAAAGATATACTTTTCTGACACTGGAAACATTACGGACAACATTAGTTAATTAGGGTTATCGACATTATTTGTAGGTATGAAATGATTAATTTCAACATACACTTGAAATAGATAGATTAAATAATGTTATTAATTTAATATTACGAATAAATAAGTGATTTGTGAAAAGAGAAAAATAATAAAATCTTGAGATGGTGGAGAAAACTTGTAGCTCAGGTGGATGATTGCGGCGGTGTTTCGTTCTCTGAGCTGGTTGTTTTGGTTGTGGAGCTTTCATTGTTCTTCTGAACAACATCATCAGCACAAACTTCAGATAGAAGTGAAGCCTTCGAATTTCTCCACGTTTGACCTGTAGCTTGTTCTGCTAACCTCGATCTTGATTGGTTGCTGTTGACCTTTAACCTGTTGTTGTTTACACCTTTGTTTTGATTGCATCACTCTTTTGAACTGTTTCTTGATTTTATGTCATCTATGATTTTTCTGATTGGTTGATAAATTGGGTCAATGTCGATGTGTTTATTGATTGCTGATTGACCTGAGTGCCAAGCTTCTAAAAATTCGCTAGTGTTCTTTGTCCTCCCCCTATCCAGTATTTCCACATTGTACAATCGAATGAATGTCCATAATTGTCGGTATGTATTGATATAAGCGGAGAGTTGTCGTGGTGTTTGACTGCTAATTGGTGTTCACGTAAACGGAGCTGAAGAGGCCGTCCACTTTATCTTATGTAGTGTTTTTCACAGTCTAAGCAATTTGTTTTGTAGATGGTATTTGGTTTTTCTTCCTTTGTCATTTTGTCCTTTGGTCTACATAGGATTGATTGAAGCGATTCTGTTGGTTTTTGTGCCACACCTATTCCAATTGGTTTCAGTAGTCGTGCTGTGTGTTCCGATATGTCTTTTATGTATTGTAGGATGATCCGTTCACAGGTCTACAGGTCAAACGTGGAGAAATTCGAAGGCTTCACTTCTATCTGAAGTTTGTGCTGATGATGTTGTTCAGAAGAACAATGAGAGCTCCACAACCAAAACAACCAGCTCAGAGAACGAAACACCACCACAATAATAAAATCTATCATCATCAATAAACTCTAAACTACACAAATATAAAATGATGTGAATTAAGAGATAATTTTAAAAATAGCTTAGGCATATAAAAAGCGGATCTGCATTCAGGAAATCTGAGCAGCTAACAGTAGAGATAACTATCCCCAAGAAAACTAAGACACTGTTGGCGTATATTTTATCCTTTAGAAATGAAAGCTATTTCTTGGTTAATCACACGCACGTATCAGCTGGTCAATTTATGATTGATTCAATGTATCACTAGTCAACGTAAGTAAAGAGATTAAATGTACAGCTAATATTACTTTCAAAAACAACTAGTCGGTCCACTGTTCTAATTGTTTACTGCTCAGTCACTAATGTGATTAATTCTCCTCACTTACACTATTTGCAACCAATTCAATCGTAAACCATCTAAATTTTGTATGTACTCCCTTCACACACAAATAAATATACAATGATAAATTGGTTTTTTCTTTGATACGAAAAGTAAACTTTAAAAATGAAATCGAGACAAAACTTTTAACAAAACTACATCTACCATAACTCATCACCAAATAAAATTGATTATGAAACTGTCTATTTTGCCATGGAATGATTTTAAGTATAAACAAAAAAATTTCAATGGTTAACTATAAACCTACTTGTATTTTAAAAAAAAACCGACATTTTACTTTCTTAGACAATATTAAAATGTTTTTCTAGATAGCTAACATTCGTCAAAATTGCTTTAAACCAGTTTAGAAGTACTGACGTCTATTCTATTGTGTCAGTTGTTAGATAATTTTGAAATGAAATAATTGTTGTATTCATGAAAAACAGACAATCACTTGAATTTTAAGCAAAAATAATATAGGTAGTCTATAATAAATTAAAGTTATTATTTATTTCCTGATTAGTTTATTTTCATTACAAAGTTAAACAATAGATAGCATGACAGTGAACGTATCAAACTAAATCTGATCACAGTTTAAATTCCACTCAATTCTTCATATAATCGATTCAGTTTTAAGCAGATTATTTTATAAGAAAGCTTATAAATACATGTCCAAGGATTCATTGTGGTTTAGATCAAACTTTGTAATGTGCTAAATAATATATATAATATAAATGATATCGGGAGATTTTTCATGAGCTTAATAGGTGTATCATCTGCGATCGACTGAATAAGTCCTTAATTTACTGAAATTTTTGTTCTTAAAATAAAAAAATAGAGAATGCCGATATAGATTTGCCTGCTAATACTGACGACATTCTGCAATCCTAGTCTCGCCATGTAAGTTCTAACTAAGAAATCAAATGGTAGTGCACTTTCTTCAATTATGAGTCGATAAAGCTTTACCTATTGATCGATTTTAAGATCTTGGGTATTGTATTGCTTTTCAATCCTTTTTTGTCAATCATTTAGTAATTGGGTTAACTTTGCTGAGAAGTGATCGATCGCCGGGTAGTGATCAATGTCATGTGTGCCAAGTTCTTCATAGTGCTGATCGAGTTTTATCGATCAAATTGCCATGTGACCATTAATCCAGGTGACTCGATATTACGTACATTAAGTTGGGACGTAAGATACAATACACTTAGGTTTCGTGCTTTTTAGCATTGGTCAGCAATATGTACCTGTATTATTGACGGAACTGATGCTTCCTGCAGGATTCGATTCCGTGTTATAAGTACTTTATATCACAGGATAGTTCATATGGTATTGAATCACCTAGATTAGTGGCCAAATCACAACTTGATCGAAGGAATTTAATCAGCACTAGGAAGGACTTGCCACATATGACATTGGTCCTTACCCAGTAGTCAACCAATTGTAAATATATTTCATTCCTACAAGTCAATCGCTGCACGGACAGCTCAACGGTAACATCTCTGACTAAGAAGCTGGGTGACATGAGATAGAATCCATCAGGGAGTGTCAGTCCCCTCAAGATTAAGGGTGAACCTTGCTGACAAACGCCGAAACTTTGGTTCAGGATATCCTGTCGACTACCTCTAACGACCACCCTATAAGTCAAATATTATTATTCATGAGTTTTTCTTGGTTTTTTAATTAAATCAAATTACAAATCAATATTTTCTTGTGATAATTTACATGTTATTATAACCTGATAGTTTTAGTACATGCTAACAAGAATGAATGACTTGAACCGCTGATTTTCAAAAGAAAACCTTAACAAGTGAACTCTTAGCATAAAATGGTTTGTCAAGAAAACTATGGAAAGGATCTTTGTCCTGATAAAAAAGAAACACAATAAACATATTCAATTTTTAATATTTATGGAGGGGTTATAATTTCGCACATTAAAACAAATATGACAAAAAATTGAAAATATCAGATTGGTGACAGAAAAGATCAATGTGATTGTTCTTTTTATACATAGTTGATTGGTTTGTTTATCTTTTTAAAAAAAAAATTCAAAACGAAGGAAATACAAAATAGAATTGTTTCAAATCAAGAGATAAAAACGGTAAAAATTATGATCATGATGATAATAAAAGAAAGAATAATAACCAAAGAGAGTCAGTCAGTAAATAACTAGGAAATAAAAATGGAAAAAGATAAAATTTTTAAAAAAATGTCTACAATCTAACACTTTATTTCTGTGATTCGTTTAAAAATAAAACCAAACAAGGAGTTACAGGTTTGTTAAACAGGAGAAAACTAGCAATGCACAAAATCAGAATAAAGCGAGGTGAATAAGTAGGCAGAAAAGTACGAAGCACTACGATTGTGGATGCGCATTCATAAAAAATCAATAACACTGAACATCCGAAAAACAATTGAAGAAATTCACCACTAAATTTTCTCATGGTAAAAAAAAGATAGTTATTTTTTAGACAGGTTAATTACAGAATGATCATTATATCGCTGATATTTTGATGATTCGTAAAGTTGTTATCATTATCAGTAGTAGTGGTAAATGCCTCATTTGTAAACCATATAGAGAAAAGAAAATTAATAAAGATAAGAAAGTAAAAAATAACGTTGGAAATCAAAATGCTATACATAGAAGAGAAAATTATATCGAAAATTGATAACTACAAAACTATGAACATCTTTTGGGGGAAAAAAATGAAACACGCACATTTAGTACATATTCGATGCGATCATACATACTTATATTTACACACTGTGTATGCTTAGATTGCCGTGAAACGATTGTTGATTAGTTTCCTAAATTCATGATCAAGGCACACCAATGTACAAGATAAACACAGAAGCGAAAAATGATCATACTAATAGTAGTAATAGGGCAGTCTCACACAAATACAGACAATAATGTAACTACTAACTAACCAATAATAAAACAGCAATTATAATAATGATAGACTGTAGATGAATAGAAGAGAAAAATAATACTTGGCTGAAAATAAAATAGGAAAAATACTTAAAGCATACTTTATGACTATCGCGTTGTACAACTCTCACTTTTCATATACATACATAAATACATACACACATATAATCAATAGATATTACGATAGATCAGTGACATAACAAAGTTCGTTGTTTAGATCACTCACTATGAATAGATATTTTACACTGAATGGGTATGTTTAGATTTGTAATGAAAATACAAGTGGGTAAAAATATGTTTTCACAAAGAAATTGGATATAAAAATACAAATTTTCAACAACAGTAACAACAACAACAAATAACAGTAGCAGTTCAGCATAGTCATGCAGACAGCTCTCGTGTTACAAAAGACATGGGGAAGAATCCGATCTGGATAAGAAAAAGAAAAAAAAAAGGAACAGTATAAATAAGACTGGATTAGTTGAATTTTGGCATAATTACACATACATACGACAGCTGATATGAGAATTAATGAAACAGTTGTTCATAATATAATCAAGAACTAGTCTAGTTAGTTTACTACAAAGTTTAATTAATTATACCTTCGATCAAAATATTCGATAAATAATAATGCTTTATTTGACGAAGAAAATTGAATCGACATGAATGATTTGTTCATAATAAATCATTTTTCTACCGTACATGTTAACGAAGAAATTTACTGAGAGTTTAAAGGTAAAATAAACAGAAAAACTAATCCGATTTAATGAATAATACGGTCTGACGGAAAATAATTTCTATTTATATTATATTGTTTATAACATTTATTATTCTTAATATTCCTAGACAAATTCAAGTCATAATTCAGTTAATCTTTAAGAATAAAAAAAAAACTTTTGATATGATTATTAGTGTTCAGAAAGAATGTTTAGTGAATAATTATTACGTCATATGATCGGTTACGATTACTGTTAGATTATAAGCTATTCTATGTATTTATTAATTTTGTATAGGAATTTGATGAAATGTAAAGTTTTTGAAATGAATGCTAAACAAGTTTGAAAAGCAGAGAATTCATTTAATCTTGTAAAAAGAAAAATACTAATAATTTCATAGTGGAGAAGTGTGACTACTTGAAAAGAAATAAGTAGAAGACTAATTAATGGAAACATTTGAAGTGTTAGTAGAAGTCAAAACAATCCAATAAAGATGACGTGATAGGATAGTAACAATATCAACAACAACAACGATCGTTGACAACCATGAAATCTTCTCGTAAAAACTTTAATTTTACTAGAATCAGTAAAAATGATGAATAGCTAATGATTTAAAGTAAATTTTAAGTGCTTTAAGTCAATAATGGTAAGCTACTAGGATAAAGTGATTGTAAAGCTTCTCATCCCACTAAAGAACAAATATGTTAGTTTTTATGAGGTAATAATAATCGATCTTTCTAAACAATTGAAAGTTAAATCTAACAGTGAAAAATAGACTGAATCATTTGTCCCATTCTGTGTAACGATACAATACAATACAGTGTTTAATTAGAGGTTAATATATGAAAAGAAATTACTAAAACTAAACTTACACGACCATTTAACCATCCTTTCCACCAACCTCTGTCTTCAGCTGCGCGACTAACTACAGCAATTCGATCACCTCCTTTTAGATTTAAGAAACGACTATTAGATGTATCATGAAAATCGAAATTTGCCCGTACGTAAAACAATGGTGAAGCTATGAAAAAATATACAGTATAATAATAAAGAAAAAATTAAGGTAAGTTAACTATGATAATATATGCATTTGTCATTGACATGTTACAATTAATCAAATAAAAAAATATACAATCAGTACATATAGTATAGATCAGCTATAACTATAATGAAAAAAAAATAACTGAGTAAACGAATAAAATAATAATATGAACTATTTAATAAAATTAAATAAATCATATTGAAAGTTAGGCAAAAATAAATTGGCTTAATTTATCCGTTTAGCATTAGATTTTAAAATATATCGATTTGGAACTCAGGACAAAGAAAGGAAATGTACGAGATAACATTCACACTTTACATCAAGAAAACTTATATGACTCACTAGATTCAATTTATTATTCCTAAGTGAATAATTTATAGACATTTAATCTAAGCTGTATTTAATCATAATTATACAAATGATTATTTATTGACTTTATCATTAATAGCGATAATCTTTCATTAATCATATTACTTATATGAAATTTATAATTTTAAGAAAAGAGGATTTCATTTTAATCTATACTTCGGTGATTTACTAAAGATAGGTTGTTAAAATAAATACAAACTTAATTGTCATCGACATTAATATAAAATGTTTAATACAAGTCACCTGAATTATAATATCATATGACAAATCAAATACATTGATGAATGGGTGCAATGAAAAAAATTCAGGTGGTTTACAAAGGATTCATAAAACGTTAACTTTTGACTTCTTCTATGTAAGAAATATTTAAATTCTGTGGGAATAGTGTTTGGTTGTCAAAAATATAGCTAATACGTCAATGTTAACCTTAATTTTGTTGAGAATAAAGGAGAATACAAAGTAAAGAATTGTTCTCTTGGTCGACTAAATGAAGGTACATAATCAAAGCATTCTAATAACGTTTATTTGTGTAAATATTAGTCAATTAGTCAGTTACAATATAGAACTTCGCACGTACGTACGCAAGTTCATGTTGCCATACCACATAAGCACAAAGACGCAATCGTCAATTCAAATCCCAAAGTAGTAAAGGAAGATGTATTAGCAGTAATGGGGAAGATTAGGTTCGACGATATTATTCAAGAAGTGGAAATCAGTGAGACAACTTTAGAAAGGGAAAGACAGAGCTGATGAAGAATTCAGAAGATTCGGATCTCAGAGAACACAAAGAGTGGATGCAACTGCGCTATTGCAAACGATTTTGAGCAATGTCATTCAGTGTCTCTAACTAACGGTTATTACCGTCTCGCGGACCCTAACCTGCCAACATGACCCAGGCCACTAGTCAGCGACTTCATGGATTTGTGCCATGCTTTGGTCTGGCCGCCCCTAGTCTTTTACCACCCTCCTCCTACACCGCAAAACATCGCTCGTCGAGGCAGTCGGTGGATAGGCATACGCAACACATGTCCCAACCACCTCAACTAATGAAGTTTCAGTACTACATCTATTGATCTGCCATCCCTACCTAATACTCGCTTCCTATCAACAGCACTGCTTATTCGGTTATCCAACCATACACGAGCAATGCTTCGGAGACATCTACAATCGAATACTATTAATTTACGAATATCTTCCACTCTTACCAACCATGTTTCACAGCCATAAAGTAAGACGGAGCGAACTTCTGCACAGTACACTCGTCCTTTGGTTAGCAAACGGATATCTAACCGACGCCATAAGTAATGAAACCTGGCAAAAACCGATTGAGCCTTCTGTATCCGTGCTGAGATTTCGTCACAAACGAGGCCAACAGTACTGATGAGACTCCCCAGATAAGCGAAGCGGTCAACATCCATCTAATTCACTGCCTATCAATAGTTCATGTGCCGACGCAAGCCAATCTTGAAGCAACATTTTGTTGTTGCTTAGGGCATTCGAAATACTCTGCATCTTGTCAGCGTCTTCACCAAATAGAACCGTCATCGGCATATTTTAAGTCAACAAACGAATCTCCTAGTAAAAGTTCAACTCCTGAAAAGTCAGATGATACAAGTCTCATTCCTGAACGCACGTCAATCATAAACTTAAACACGAATGGAGAAAGAATGTGGACAGAATTGACGAACACCACTTGAAGTTATCCATTCTGATGATAGTTCGCCATAAACTCTCACTCGACCAGTAATGTTCGAGTAGAGAACCTGTACAAGGTTAATGTACCTCTTTTGCATGCCTTTTAATCACAGAAACTACCAACGAGCCTCACAACCAACACAGTTGAATTTCGCCTTAAGGTCAAAGAAGACAACTATGGTCGGACGCCTAAATCTAAAGTCGGACGTCTGTGTTCTAGGACCTGACAAATTGTGTATATATGCTCTACACATCCACATCCAAGTCGGAAACCAGCCTGGTTATCTCTAGTCTGCTCTTCACGAGCTCTAAATAGGCATCGGAGTATTACTTTACCTATTTTAGATACCACACTAATTAAACTGGTTCCTCTGCGATTGTCACAAGAGAACTTGTCCTTGCCTATAATTCGCAATTACATTCAGTTCCCAGATTCTATCTAAGATCTCAGTCGACCTAACTGCTAAAACTGGACCACAATCCTTGAAAATTTCAGGGGTCAATTTATCAGGACTCACTGCTCTCCCTCGTTTCAGATTTTCTATAGATCACTACACTTCATAAAGACTCGGAGGACTTATATCGATCCAATGCTTCTGTTTAACCTTATGGTTCACCTTACCAGCAAATGCAATTGCTATTTACACAGCTTTTTGGATGGTGGGTATTACTTACGTCGCTGCCTAACTGTTTTTTATTTGTTAACGAGATATATTCTTAGCTTTTCTATTATAAAGTAAAACCCCAAAAATGATTTCCTTGCAGCATCCTTCTTTCGTCAAGACGCAGACAGATATGTGCTCGCTCTACAGCATGATTTGAATCTAAACATGTGCTCCAGAACGAGCGACAGGCCTCTATCGAACCCCTCCATCGGTGACTGATAGCGATGTGGTCTAGTTGTGTCCAGCGTTTGGACGAATTTGGGGGTCGCCATGTCATTTTTTACATCGTCTGAACTGCAGTCAGTGGGAACGTAGGCAGAAGCAACGAAGAGGCAAAGGTGAGTGTCCTTATCTTTATGAGTCTTTACTGTCCCGTTTAGTAGGACAGCACACAAGCGACTATCTACTGGGATCCAGTCTAAGAGAGCCAGTTCTGCCCTAGGACTTAATATTATACCTACATGCGCAAGGCCATGGGAAGCGGCAGCAGGGCTTCCAGATACGTGAAGCGCAAACCTAGTTGATTCTCTAACGGCAAAAGGTGAAATCAAATTAATGATTTTGCTCGAATCCTGTATGAGCGTTTACGAGACTCAGCACACATCGAAGGCGCGAGATTCAAGATTCTAGTTGCAGAGTGATAAAGGTATGTGAGAAGGATTGGTCATAGAGATGAGAGTTATTAAGAGGTGTAGGAAGGACTTGATTATGGCCAAGTTGATCTGGTGTGCTGTTAAGGGTATGAGGACTGACGTCACTTCCCGGTTGCCTACACCGGGGAAGGGTAATTCTTGTGGAACCTGAAAAGGAAATCGGACTGGCAAGATTATTTTTTACCTATATGTCAGACTGGTAATAAATTGGCACTTAATTACTGATCATACGTGATATGCTGAGAACTTCCTTTTACAAAATTGAAGGACACTTGTCCTTTACTTAGCGGATTCCATCCACTCTCAGCTATAGCAGAACGACACATAGCCACATCACTCAATGTAACAGCCAGTGACTTGAAGACCAGTGTAGCGTCATGACTTGTTTGACCCTAGGTTACACTCGTCTCTAGGTTTGCTTAAAACTATTACGGGTTCACCTTAGTTCAGAAACGAGAACGAGACAATGAACCAGCGTCCAGGTAGGCTACTATGATCCCTTGACCCAAATGTACTAGCAAGAAGTCTTGATATAGCGTAGGAAGTGTATTCTATAAACACTCAGCCAGCACACAATGAATCCAAGCACACAAATCGTGTTTATTTATACACCATAGAGACGTCCTTGGGAGAGTCACAAAATAGCACACTAAAATAACACAGTTATCAATCACAGCCAAGGATTCTCCTGGTGGGAAATGTGATCTCAAGGTCAACTGATCAGCCCATGAATAAAATCCAAAATAAAGACATTTGTCAAGCGAGTTCTGGGGATCTAACATCCCCAACACTCTCATCTAATTTACACAAGCAAACATGGTATATTGAGGTAAGTGATGGTTTTGGAACGAATATCAAGTACGAGTAAACATACGAGACCATAAGGTACATCAGAGAGATATGAGTAATAGTAGTTAACTTACAAGGACACTTTTGGTAAGGATAAAGTAATGTTACATCAACTTCATCAAAACATCGATTTAACGATACTTTGGAATAGTTTTCAATTACACCCTAAAAACAGAGATATAGACATGGAGGAATGAAAGGCATGATCAAAGTTTATGAAATTTTTTAAGTTAACACTTTATAGCGATCAACTTTTAACAAATCCACAAAAACAAATACATCGTGACTGTGTATTATCGGATCCCATTTGTTCCCAACATAGAATAGAATAAGTTTTCGGAATTTCTAGAATCCACAGAAAAGTTACCATTTCCACTCACTAAACCTTACCTGGAGACAAAAAAAACTGTTACTGATATGTTCTCATTCTGCAACTATTCTGGAGTATCCTCAACGCACTAAAACATTTCAGAACTTATATAGTCCTAACAACAAATTGAGTATCGATTGATAAAGTTAACTAATTGCTTAGGTTGTGTTCATTAGTTTGTTTGTCTAAAAATTGGAAAGAATTTTACATAGTCGGTAAATTTTACTGAATATTCATACCAACAAGAACTCAGTGACTTCCTTTCAACATTTATTTGAAAAGTAAGCACGCTCAATAATCTGCATTCTACTTATCGAAGGAAAGTATGTGGGGTTCATGTATTTCCATTGTCTCAAGAACCAACAAAACCAGTCAGTCATACGCAATCGATACTAGGAAACTGGTTAGTTCAATAAATAATGTCTCCTGGCCAACAATATGGACTAGTTTCCTTGAACCAAACAAGCATTTAAACTCTAACAGACTTCTCGAGATGTTTGGCCTTGTCATAAATGTAAATAATTGACAGATATATACCAACTAACCGGCTAACTTTGGATCCCGATAATTGTTGCAGTAATATCAGTTCGGGCAAAAAAAATTATGTCCCATGAAATGTTTAACAACAAGCAGTTGAAAAACAGTCGAGTGAAAAAAATGATAAACAAAAACCTTAAAACTCACTGAAAAAATAAACCAAGTTCCAGTAATAATAATAATAATATTATTATCATTACTATTATTATTATTGTTGTTATTATTATTATTATTAGAAATATTGCTTTATTGGTTAACTAAAAAACAACATACCGGTATATTTGGAAATTGTTCCAATTCACAAAGGCCATATGTAATGCAAGAATTATCAGATGATGTAAAACGTTGTATACGAATATGTCGTGGATGACCGTATACAACAGACAGTGAATATTCTCCCATTCTCTCAGCACTTTTAGACAAACGTACAAGAAATGTACCATCAGTACAATTATTTAATAAATTAACAGCTTCAATTCTATCCATTTCACCAACATACCTGTTATTTACAGAAATAAAATAATATGATAAGGATTTTATTGAAAGATAAATTGAAAAATAAAAAATAAATTATATAAACCAAGCAAAAACAAAGCGTAACAAATTGAAAAACAGTTAGTTGAATGAAAGTAGAAAGATGCCGACATACAAAAACCATAAACAAATAATATTTTTTATTATTATTATGATATATATACATACGTATATACATATATATATTTAACATTAATTAGGCATGCTGTTATCATGCTACCAAAAAAAGTACACAAAAATAAGATGAAGCTATAAAAGAAAAGGTTATTCGAAATTACTGAGGGAAACAATTATGCATATATATATATCAATGAAATCATTAAAAATCATTCAATCATATAGATTTTCTAGTGAATGAAGTTTTTTTTTGTTTTCTGGTCATAAAATCATTTTACATTCTGCATACTACAATTAAATTGTCAATAATAATGTGTATTAGTAGGGCAAGGTTTGTTGAGAAAAAATATATATTCATAAAATGTGTACTGATGTTGATTAACCAAGTAACTCGATTGATAGACTTATTCTTAAGTAAACTCATTTACTGTTGATGTTGCTCAAGGCACTAAGTAATGATAACAACAAATCAAACTCTTTCATATCCATTATCCTGTGATAAAACATACAATAGATTGATGGATATTTGATTACTTGGCATTAACTTTCACACATAAAATTAAAATGAAATCCATGAAAAAGGTGTATCATTTTAAACGATATAACTGTACACTGTAAAGTTTTGCATTGAGTTGGTCGATATGAGAACTATGACGATATAACCACGAAATTCTTTGGTAATTTGGTCATAAATCACCTAATCGAATGATAATTAGTTATTATTCTGACTGAAATACTAATGAGGATGAAACTTGTCTTCTATAGACAGGTTTATGTATTCGGTACTTTGAGTCAAACTTCAACTAGTAGCCCTATTTCCACTTGATCAATTGAGTTTAATCGTCACTGGAGACTAGACACACATAACGTTGGTCACTTTTTAGTCATCAATCAATCAATCCGTCTATCAATTAATCAATAATAATAATAATAATAATAATAATAATAATAATAATAATAATAGCGCCCCAAGTAAACTATCAACATTCTGGCATAGATTGACTTTTCACAGTGTTACTAATTGTAGAGATAATTTAAACAGGTATAATATTTCATCATAAAACGTGAAAAAAAAACAATATCAAACTAAATAATGGAAAATAATTTATAAATTATGAACACAAATATTAAAAACAAACTATAAATTGTACATAGAGTAATATAGAGCAGTCATATGATCATGCAAAATAAAATGACACATAGTAATCAAACAATTAAAGTAAACGAATGCATATATGAAAATTCTATGCCAAAGATGGACACATTATAGACAAATAAAGTTAACTATCTAAGAAAAGTGACAAAAAAAACTCTACATTGAAACAAGTACTGACATGATTAAAATTTGAAAATAAATATATAGAAATAATTACTGAACAGAATTGAACATGAAGGTTCTATCTACTTCGGCTCCCAATATTTAAACAAGTATTTCAGTGTCGAAAATATTTTGTAGTTGACACTAGAAATAATAAACTGGTAATAATTATTAGATCGCATTTGTTATACATATATTAAATTATTTAGTATAACTGATTAGAACAACATTTCTTTTAGTTCGAAATAAAATTCATTAACTTTGGATATTTTTCTACAGGGATAAATAAGAAATATACATTTTATAGTATAAATGTACATTATACATACATATATATATTTATATACACAAAGAAGCACAGTTTACCAGGGATAAGTCGACAGAAAGATATGTGAATGATCCAGTGTTGAGTCTGTTGGGAAATTTTCAAATCTCGAAGTGACTGCTGCACCAACTGCTGCAGTCTGTGTAGTTGACAATACTGATGGAACTAAATCAATACAGTGATGAGATGAATCAGGAATTTCCAAAGCTGATAAACTACGCTTTTTCAAACGTCGAAACATTAATGGAGGATATGAATTATTTATACTAGTACTCATCATATTCACTGGGATGAGTGATGTTAACGATGAACAAGGAGAACTAGGAATATTATTATTATTATTATTACCGACGATAGATGATCGACTGTTATTTACAGTTATATTTCCTATAGTACAGAAAGGTAAACTGGATGGAGATGTTTCATTTGATAAAAAGAATGATTTTTGAGCTGAAGAATTATTATTACTAAAAACTGATGCTCGATCAGAATTATTAGACGATGAAGATACTTGATGAGAAAGTCTTGCACTGCTTGGCTAATTAAAATTAAAAAAATGAAAATAAATGATGAAGTAAATATCCCTAAATTTATGAAAACAATCAATAAAAGTGTATATACATAAACATGCTTGTAAAAAGCCAGTACACAACACATGCATTACACAAAAAAAAATATAAAATATACACTAATCATCAACTCGTGCAAATCAAGGTTCCAGGCACAAAGTAAATACAAATACAAACACAAACAGATACAATTGAGGCAGAAAAAAATAAAAAGCGTCGAAACAGACCAGTCATATCCAGCAAGAGGATCGTGACTGTCTACAAGTGATGTGGCAGTCTGTTTGGCTTGGCGTAGGCAAGTATCCAAAACAATATTATTGATGCTGTTGCTACTATTAGTAGTTGTACCGTTATTATTTAAGCTATTTTGTTGATGAGAAAAGTGTTCCAGATCGAGATTTAAACAAATTTCTTTGGAATTATTTGCTGAGATTGAACAATCTGGGGGTAGACTGTGCCGAGTAGGATTCCCTATCAAGTTCGACAGCGATACAGATGAACTGTTGGTAAATGCTGTGTTCGATGTGCCAATCTGAATTGATGTATGAGGATACGATTCAAAGAAAATAAATAAATCAGTAATTACAGACTTCACATTCGATTATTGTAGTCTGTTAATACTTCATGTATCATTTTTTAAAAGAATTAAATAAAATGTATTCATTCAGATATTATTTTAACGAGCAACACATTTAACTGAACATACAGATTTAATCCGGAAAGACAACATTCAATTTAACCAAGAATTACTATCTAAATCAGAAATCAGTAAACTTTTTTCATATGAAGTAGTATGTTCCACCAAATTAATTTCAGACTTTCATAGCTTTAGCACATTTTTTAAGTATCACCCAGGTTGTAGTTTGCACAAATCGTAGGGAATTTCTTATATGCACAACATTCACCTACAACTTTTATAAAGTGTTTGAGTATTAACACCAAGATATCCGTTAATTAATTTAACGTATTAAGATAACACTACTAGAAACTAAAATCTTTATAAAAGATGCATCAGAATGTTAGTTAGTTAATTAGATAGAATACGACAAGTATTAATTGTATGGTAATCACAAATAGAAGTCATTATTTCATTCATCTCATTTATAATGACACTTGAATGGATTAGGCCATCCAGATCCAAGAATGAAACTCTGCCAAATTTAAATTTTGAGCTACGAATCTTCAGTATCATCACAAAAACACTTGGATTTTACTAAGTATTGGCATTCAAATTGAAACTAAGACTTTTAAAAAGTTACTGACTACGCATAAATAGAAAAAAAAAGTGGAAACAAAGAGAACAGCTTACTTTATTAACTTTGGTATTCACTATTTCAACAATATTGGCAGGAAACCAACCTTCAGAGCCATCAGAATAACCCTAAATGTTGATTATTTGACATAAAAAAAACACACGAAAACTAATTGACATTTAGTTGATTTACCAGTGGAATTCATATAGAAATAGAGTTGAATAGAAATTATTCTTTGGAAAAAGTATAGAGATATATCGAACTACGTAGAGAAAATATTTGAATTTGGGAAAAAAACATCTAGTTTTACCTAAAATGACGTAATTATGTGGTAAACGAAAAGTCTGATAACTAAAAAATTAATGTTGTAGTGATAGTAAAATTCATTTAATTTAAATTGTGAATATTTACGTTTCATTTAATCCCATAGACAATTCTGAGTCAGTAAAATTATAAAAACTTTGAACAAAGTAGTATCAGAGGTGGACGTTTTCATCACTTTTTCAATCAGGCTAACATAATCTTTAAAATGTCTTCTGCTAATAGTACACAAATAGTATTCACGTGAATCCATAATGGTTAACGTTAGAAATGAATTAACAATTGGTAAACGTGGTACTTTTAGAACTACACTACAGTGGAGTACAACGTAAATTTCTATTGTGTATATATTGGGTATTTACTTTGTGGTGTTTTGTTATGTTGCTTTGCTTATAAGCTTTCGTCGAAATCCTTAACTGCTAATGTATGTTATCCTATTCATAAATTACCGCTAATTAATTATGCACCCATTGCTCTGATTTTATTAAAAATAACCTAGTTATACACAAATTATGATTTGCTATTTGTAACATATTCTGATCTTGTAACTGATGCAAAATATCACAAGTTTTTGAGCCAATTATAAAGATCGACGGGGCTGGTTGTTTCCTTGTCCTAATCGGTCATTGGGATAAGAAGTTGTGTGGACCAAAAAAAACCTTAAGATATCCAGTTGTTATTGATTAGGCTAGGGTCATTAGTCGAACACATTATTTATCGACTCGGTAATTTAGTGAACCAATTAAGTGGATACAAAGAAGTTGAATTCATATGTCAGAATATCCATTCATCTATTAGGTAGCAAGCTTGAATGTTGTTCGATCGGTTTTGTAGTTTTACAAAATAAGTAGTAATACTAGCCTCTATAAACAAAGTATCACCTACAGTTCAGTACATAAAGATGTACTTAGGAGATGATTTCCTGATAAGTTCTATAATATCACTGAGCCAGTCCATTGAATGGATTCAGTGTTTTCAACTATAAATTTAGGAAAAAAAATATTCCTTATGCCAAAAAATAATTCAGTACAGAGTGATGTCACTTGTATACACTCAAAAAGAAAAGGATATGTTAGTGTCTATCTATTTTATGGTGAATACAAAGTTGCACAGTAGTTGAATAGTACCAGCGTACAACTGTTCGTCAATATGTTGTAGTATTAAATGTTACTCCATCTATACATTTTCTAAAAAGTGTGCAAAATAGATCTAGTTAAAAAACCAAGCAAACAAATCTGATCATTAAAGGTAAGAAGACGATTCACAAGATTTATGCTCAGTAGATAGTACACTGAACGTTATTAAACTTTTTGTATTGAAAAACTGACACAAGTTGATTCCTGTTCGGTGATAATTGTAGGAAAAATTGAGATTATTTTCTGTGATTGACATGAGTGCAACTACTCACCACACTTCAGAAAAAATATACTTGCACAATGCTAATTTTTAAATGAAGACACGAAATTGTGAAACATATCGTAATAAAATAAGTTTTATCACAATTCATAAAAACAAATGACAAATAAAAAGGTAACAAAATATTACCACTAACTCAGCAAGATCAGAAGTCAGCAATAAAGTACACGCGAGATTAGATGATGAGTATTTTAAAGAGTAGCTAACTTGTTAGTGTGCAAGCATTTATATTTAACTAGAGAATTTTACAATATAGAAAATATTATTGTAGTATTTTCAACTAATTTACAACTTTCAGAGATAGTTTCAAGGGGATTGTCAGTTAGAGTAAAATAACCATATATTGAATACATAATATCGACAAAACTTACTTGCCACCATGATGAGCCTTCAGTCCATTTGATCAATTCAACTTGGTCTCCAATAGATAATTTCAAAGGATGACTACCTGAAGGTGGAAGAGGATCACCGTCATATGCTTTTCGCGCTACAGCGAAAATTGAATTCACTGGAGGAATATTTGAAGTAGGTAAACCTGAAGAAATACGTCGATTGCGTTGTAAAGTGACATTCGACAGATTGTTATGATCAGCCGCAAGCCAGTGGTTTACAGAAGATAATGTATCATTTAACTGTGAGAAATCAAATGAGTCTGAAGTAGATGATGAGTCTTTTGCAGGTGTACAAGGAACACTTCCCATCATTGCATGAGAACGTCGACTACGCACTGTATTATTCTGGGGAGGTAATGGTGGTGGAGCACTTGATACAAATCCATTAATAGATGGACTAGCTAGACCACGTATTGGAAGATTATGATTGGCAAGACAACCTTTATGTGCAGCTCGATTTGTTTCTGAATATAGAAAGTAAAATGTAATAAGACATGAAATATTCTTTCAGGTATCATGAATATATGAAAATTTGTCAAAGCATTTTTTACAGCATTAGTACGTAAACTAAGAGTGAAATATATGATATAATTAATACATGGAAAACTACTGTTACACAGCTTAACCAGACAATAAAATCAGTAAGGTAGAGGGAAAGTTTAGCAGAAATTTAGGAAATTCATACACTTTACTAGTAGTTTTGATTAAAAAAAACTCAGTTTGAACGAATTTTCAGTTAAATCGGTAAATATAGGAAAGCAGAAATGATTTTTTCAACAATATACGTCGTTCTGGAAAAGAGAAATATCAGCATTTTTGAGTTTTGTTCACATGTTAGGGCAACTGAATGCCCTGGTACGGCCAAGAGCGGAAACAGCTCGCTCGCCTTGTCGAAATGTTCTCATATGGCCATGCGTGTATAACCACTGCCAGAAAACTCCTACTCACTACCTTCTTGTAGTAAGGGTGTTGTTTATGAAATTGGGATGGAAAATGAATGTCCAATGCTTGAATCAAGTTGATTCTAAACAAAGGATGTACATGGGCTCCAGGAATCTTGGTCACAGGCTACTATGTAACCATATTGCCTGACCTTGCCCCATCACCTTGTGCAACCCTAAGAAAGGCACGTACTTCGGTTTAGAGACAGTGATAGTACCCATCCATGCACGAATTGACTGATTTATGTAGCGCATAAATATTTAGTTGCCTCTTTTTACCAATGATTAAATGATAAACTTATATGGTGAGAAGAAATATACAGTTTCTTTAGATTCGACCTTTCCAAACAAAGGAATCGAAGTCTACACCATAACAGTACATATTTCTTAATCAACCATCATGATACAACAGGATCTCAGAGAATGTATCGCAGGAGAAATAACTTCGAATACGAACCTGACGGACTGTGCTACATTCATTCTGAAGACAAAAAGAAATGAAGTTCGATAGGAGATCGAACTTACATTTCAATTCGAATTAGAGACCATCACATTATAAAACACGGGAAATAACACTGCATGAATTGTTTGAATGCTCTACTATCGAAATTACCTAATATAATAGATCTAATACAATTGGCAGTTTTCAAATAAGCATTCATTTTATTATAGATAAAGAACAACGAGACTAGACAAAACAGGGTAAACTATATGAATAAACAAAACTAATATTAATTCTCACCATATAGACATGAAAATAAAATGAAAGTATTTATTTTTAACATAAAACTAATCACATATAAAATCAGAATAATGCTGGTAGTCCGTAGTATGAATAATAATTATAAAGCATGTTTGAAAAAAAAAATTTTTATAATTGTGTTTCTATGAAGTGCGATCGACATATACAAACACGAAATCAAACAGCATTTCACTCTTTTAAGGAAAATGAAGAAAAATTAAACAAAAGGATAAAACTTCATTTTACAACAACCAGACAGTTAACACGAAAAGTGGATTACAATAAAAAGTAACCGTTTCTTACTTTACAATAATATATTGACAAAATATCAGATCTAGGAATATTATCATCAGTTGAAAAGTTCAATACGCCAAAATAATAGAAAGCTAATTTTCATATTTTGTCTTTTACCAATAAGGCATTTGACAAATAACACAATAACGTTATAGTTAGCTCATATATCAGGTACACTTTTGTATACTTAACTCCGAGTCCTATTCTCAATGTGAGGATTAGTGATATTAGTTAAATGGCCAAAACAACGCAGGTGGGATGAGGACCCCGGTAACTGGAAGCTGCGCATACTATGGTCCCACAACTAACGTTCCGCACTCCATCAATAATAGTAGTAATAATAACATTGATCAGTTGACCATAAAGCGTAGGCTTCAAGTAATGTAAACATACATTTATTGTTTCATTCAAGAAACTTGAAGGGTAACGGCTCCACTAACCTGTTGATTAGACCTTAGGGTCAAAGGCTCAAATAAGTGGGGTCTTCAGAAAGCTAACTACTTCGGTGGTGGTCTAATTAATTAACTAATTAATTAATTAACAGATATGAAGAAATTAGTATCCTTGCTCCACTTCATTACAAAAATATCTACGCATATTTTCACCAGACAACACATTGTATAACCAGTGGAATATACTTCATTACACAATATATAAAAGAATAGGCTCACTAGTGGAATATACACATACAACCACAAAGGTTTAAGATTATGCCATAAGAAGTTAGTTAAACTGGATAGCTTTAACTTCTCATTCACAAAAATAGATCCAGTACACTATTACTTGTAAATAAGAAAGTGGAATAAAATATTGTTACCATTATCATTATTATCTCATTGATTAGTGAAGTAATTAGAACTTTATGCACGTAGAACTATAATAAGGCATACCCAGACAAGAAGATAAAGAAACAACAATATAAAAGTGATTTTCACTAGCGATAATAATCTTGAATAATTAATCACTAACCTACATTATATTACAATTCAGAAGGTACACATTCTGTGCATATCTTAGTGCCAGTGACTGTATGGTTTAATATGACCACTACTACTAATCGCCAGTACTACTCTAGTGATTGCTCATCCTGAATGAAAAACATTCAACTTTTATGCAGGAAAAAAGATTTACATACAATTTTCATGTTCAGAAAAGTAATTTTAATAATCTCCATGACTTCAGTATCCAATGTTCAGTAGTGTAATATTATATTACATGTGCTAATTGCTTAAAACTAATTTTTATCTATAACTAAGCTTGTTTCCTCTTATCTTGTACGAAAAAAACTATGAACTTTCTTAACATTAATTTTCTATATTTTAGAACTACTTGCTTCCAAACACTTCTTAGCAATAGTCATAATCATTGATTGGAAACTTTCACATGCAGTCGATCAAAACTGATCACAGTGGTGTGAACACATTCTAGCTTTATTGATAACTAGATGTTGAGTTCCAATGATTGTCCTGATACTTTCTATTCTCTTGTTACATATTATCTTTTCGGAGTGTATTCTTTATAAATTAACCTTTATTATACAGTGACTAATACTGTCAGTATGCCGATTCTTTTGCTATTTTCAGCTCACTATAAGATATAATGTGAACACTTAAATTGATGGACATTTTTTACTGGTCCTATGCTACAATAGTTGCAATTAATTAGTTGAAAAACCTTTTGTTTTGCGATAATCGATGCATTTACTTAGGATTGCAAACAATCAAAGAAAACTCAGAAATAAAAAGGAATAAAGTTATTTTATTACTCCGTTACAAGTTTGTTGGATGTTTGATTTTTTGTGAAAGATTTTCCGTTAACAGTGTTAAAGATGAAAATAGTTCAGAGATTTATTTTGTAAACTAACAATAATTTCAACTGGAAACTAATAGATTTTAAGAATTTTTCTTAATTTAGAAGTTTTATTGTAAACAATGCTTGGTGTAATAAAACAGTTTAGTTATTTTAAATGTAACAGAGAGGATGCTTATTTGTGTACAATGACATGAAAGTGTAAATAAACAAATTTAACAGGATTACATTTTAAATTAGTTCTTTTAATTAATGAAGAATTATAAGTTGGGATTGGTCAATATGTTCGATAAATTTTTAGATTAGTAAAGAGAGGAATTGTGCTAAGTGATAGTTTTCCCCGAGGCACTGACTACCATTGACTTTTAGAGTTCAGTCAGTTACAACGTAGAACTTCGTACGCACGTACGTACGTACATCAGTTCAGGTTGCCATACCACATTTGCAAATTCCATAGTAGCAGAGGTGATAGAAGTGTTCACAGTAATCGGAGAGACTACGGTTCGAAGATATTATTCAAGGAGTATAATCTAGTGAAGTAAACTTAAAAATAAAAAGATAAAGGTGGTGTGGAATTCAGAAGATTGCGATTTGAAAGAATGAAATTCTTGATAGGTGTTTTAAAAAAAATCAGAATACTTCAACTGTTTATGAAATAAATATTAATGCAGTTAGCTATCATAAAGTTGAGAAATTAGCGTTAAAATATAGAAGCTCAACGAGTAACACAAACTTTAAAACAAACACACAGGTTGGTGAGGTTAAATGCTTCCACAGAATTTGTAAAAGAGGTTGAACAAACAGGTGTGAGACTATTTTGATATTCATTGGTTTATAGTTGAGAGGCCTTTAAATTAAAAGTGAAATGCATTTACAAAATGTACCCACGATTAAAGCAATTTTCCAATAATTATAAGAAATTTAAAGACCTGACATATGTCCAATCGTTAAATATATCTTTCCAATCGACCTTTTTTTAAAGCATCCTAGCAACGTTTAAAAAATGAAACTCTCAAGCGAAGGAAACGGAGTATATTATGGTTGAGAAGAAGTTTGTCTTCTTAAGACGGCTTCAAGTCAGATGGAATAGCTGGGAAGATTAAATTAGGATTAAAGGTCATAATAAAAAGGAAGTATCCAACCACCAAGCTGATCTCTCTGTATTGAACGAATTTCTCACTAAAACAGTTATGTGTAAACACATTCTCTTCTTATGTTACCTCCAACTTTATTTAGCAGTTTACATGTATGTGCCAAATTAGATACATTGGAAAAATAGAAAAGAGGATTAGCGTCCGCACCTCTGTGCATATTCCACAGAAGCTAAAACCAAGAGGACATGTTTTCATCAGTGTGAATGCACACCATTCACTTGACAGTGGTCATGGTGTTGATGTCTCAAGGCCAATTAACAAACAAAGAATGTGAGATTTGCTACGGTTTACTAAAGCGATTGCCATACAGGTATTTAAACCAAATTTATGTATCCAAAAAGACTCAGTTATCTATTCTGCTTTGCTGTGATGTCCTCGCTTATAAATGATTAAGTAATTTCTCATCATGTGATTCTAATTACTAATTCTCTGACCTGTACTCAGTCAAATTAATTTTAAGGAGCACTTAATTAAAACATTAATATTTTGTTTTTAAATAATTCTGTTTCTTTGTTGTTAGTTGTTTATTCTAGAAGTATTCATATGATTTAGCTTATATATCCCTCATATAGTTCTTTCATATTTATTGCTCTTTTTATTAGTTCTAACTAATGAGAAGCTTCTTAATATTAAGACAGATAGTATGTTAAGCAACTGATAAGAAACCACGGAATAAAATGAATTGTTTCTTGCTTTAAACAGATTAGCCATAGACAAGAATGAATGAATTTGAAGGGTGAAATATACGGAATAATTTTTTAAACCTAAAGAAAACAAAGAATGAATGTATTTGTGCTACTACAATCCATTTCGAACTATGTTACTTAACGTCTCCAACCAACGTGATGACTATCATAGATCAATATCAACCAACCAAACTTTGAAATTGCAAAGCATAAAGACACTTTGTTCACCTTAACTACCATTCTACTCAGCAAGACAAGGTAAGAGAATTTGTAGGAACCACATATAATGAGCAACAAGATTTGATTTTTATTGAAGCCCATAAATCGACTCATCTTAATTAGTACTGCACACTACCAATAAACTATTAAATTACACTGTGAAAGATAACAGTGAATATAATAAAAATTGAGCAAGCGTAATTTATGTTTAGGCTTAACATCATGCTGAATAGCTCATGTGAATGATTCATAAAAATAAATCTTAACATAGCAACTAACCTCGGCAACGATAACCTTGAAAAAACATTCCCGTGATTAATTTATTACAAATACAACAATAAGTAGGTTGTTTGAATGTGAACATTTCAAAGTTGTAACCTCGATCTTTAGCTCCTGGTGGACAAAGATTGGATCTGTTGTTAATGGAATCCAAAATCAATATGAAACAAATGGTTAATGAGTAAGTAATATGACTAACAACAATTCATATTAAGATAGAAAAAAAAATCAAAACCATAGGGGTAGTGTAAAATAATGATGAGAGTATAGAAATGAATCTTAAAGACAAGATTATCTTCAATAACGCAATCGCTAATTAATATCAGTTGAATTTCTTGTGCAAACTAGGATTGCAACTTTGAATAGTAAGCAATATGCAAACGGTCAGACTGACTTCAGAATTCTTGAAACTCGGGAAGTTTTCGACAAAACATCAAACGATATAAATCATCACTAAATAAATATTTGCTTTTTGTTTTAATATCCAATATCTATGTAAATGGTTACGAATAACTTTAAAAAAGTTGACAATAAATTAAAATTATTGGCAAGTTAGTAGCAGTCAAAGTTTCGGGTTTGTCTGAATAAAAATGCGCGGGAATAAATTAATAGTGCCGAGTTAAAAGTCTTTTACTATTAACGGTTGATTGATTTGTGTTTAGAATTTTTTATAGACATCCATAGTAGCCCATTTAGCTTTATTAAAGAAACAACTAAAACTTTGAATATTCACCGAATAAATCGACGAAAAGACTTATTTTAGGAGAATATACAGTCCATCTCATCTGATTTGAAAATTGCAAAATGCAACAGCTTGCACATGGAATCGATCAACGTTACTAAACGTATTAAACAACAGAAATAAACTTATTAAAAATAATAAAAATGGACATCAACTTACAATGCAGCTGTTACAGCTTTCATCCAGGCTGTACGTAATTCTTCAGATTTTGTAAAAAATGTAAGATTCGGTGAATCTCTATCACCCAAGATTGGTAAAGTAAATCCATAAGCATACTATTTTAAATCAACAAATAAACGGTAAATTTGACTTGATAAGTATAAAATATTGAAAATGAAAACTAAAACCACACAATTTAAAAACTTGAGATAAACACATAGCATAACATGAATAGTGAGACTGATTATTTAGGTAGTGAAAACAAGCCTTAGCGTCCATTGAAAGGAATTCGAGTTGCTGTCAATATCAAAACAAAAAGCACAAGAAAAACGCTCACGAGAAGATTACTGTTTAGAAAAATTTCGCATGATTCAAACTACAAAGAGAAGACTACAATAGTAAAGATCTTTGAATAATCAGTAAAAAAAGTAGTACAGAAGATAAAGAAAAAAAGCAATGCACTAATTTATCAGTTTAAAACAACAAAATGGGTGTAAAAAAGATTTATGCTGTATGATTGAGATTTTCCGGACAAAATTATTTCAAATATCACAACAAAGAATTCCAAAATTATCCAGTTGGCTAAGAACTAGAAACAGATATTTTATGGAACAGTGGTATACATATGATTTAATCAATTCTAATTGATAATTTCATTTCACTATTTACTGTAAACAGGATAACCACAGTGATCAAAGCAATGATGTATAAACATACAGAAAGCATAACATTACATCACAAAAAACAGGTACTTATCAAATATGACTCTGTATGTCAAATAATTAACTGAATTTTCTGCTTACGAGACAAACGTGTAACACGTTGTCGAGACATTTGCCTTGTGCAGAACTCTTCCGACCGATACCAACAAAATATGTTTGTCTGGTTACGCCAGACACCAGGGTTATTAGATCGTAGAAAAGAAATGTATATAACCATGTTTTTCAATATATATATATATATATATATATATATATATACTTGTCATCACACTTTATTTTATCACATGATGGCAAATATTGATATTTTTTTTGGTTGTTTAACTTAGGTGTGTACACAAACAACATTTCATTTTATGCGATAAACAAGTAATAACCTGAAATGATTGTTATTAGTTTACGGTCATTATTAACAACATATCACAAATGTACAAATCAATCATCAATTTTATTCTTTGTGATGGATGAATAAAGTAAATTAGACAGTGGCAATTTATATAGCTCAATTATCTAATGTATATGTGAATTTTGTTAGCAACATTTCATGACATTGAAATCAAATTGTAACAAATCAATAATATACAGTTAGTTTTTATTGAAACTGAACAATTTAATGTGTCTATAGATGTTCCAGCATTTTTAATATTCCGTAAATTTGCCAACAAAACCCAGGTAGTATCTTGATAATTTAAGTAATGTACAGTAAGATCATTTAAACCGGAAGTCCTTTAACTTATTGATTTTGCAAAATGTAATTGAAGAAGCCAGTTCAGTAGTAAGAAGTGCGGTAAGATAAACTGCCAATGTTGTACCATTTGAATGGAAGGACATAGTTATGTTTAAGACAGGTCAGTTTCAAGTAATATGAAAAAAAATTATAATCACTTCAGTGATTCTTCATACTATTCATGCAATTACTTTATGAAAACTCTTTCGTTAAGATAAAAGTTGAGATTTTGGATAGATTAACAAAATGTTTTTTATAAAGCTACGGCTATATGTAATAAAAAGAAAGCTTTATATTAGTCAGTTATAGTGAACACAATATGTAGGCAGCTTTTTTTCGACTAACCAGAATGGTGTATTGTGAACAACACGAAACGAGAACTACACTGTTTGAAATCTTTTTAGTGTGAAACTGTAACAAGATGAGTACAAGCATGAATCTCTCTTTTCTGTATGTATGCAGACATAAAACTACGATATGAAGAATATTTCAAACATTCTGATAACAATTGTATGATTGATTATGTTCTCGTTATTATACTCCTTGTTAAAAATCATAATCGATCAGTCGCTATTGGAATAAATATATTCTGACCTAATTACCTCCATATAGCCTTGTATTTACAAGTTTAATTATATTTGCATTGTGCATATCAACACCAGGATCCAGATACATTCTGATAACGAGTCCCAAATGGAACAAAATGCATGTCCTGGATTCTACTGGTGATAGCTACTATCCAAACTAGTAAGATAATATATAATTAACTCAGAAATTCTTTCCAATATAATTAGTCTACATATAGAGGTGAAGTATATAACTGGCTTAAATCTTAATACTAAAATTAAACTTACTCCTTTTTTGTTTGGTAAAGTGACTTTTTGGAATTGGCCATTTACAACATGATAAGCGAACATGAATGTAAAACTATCACCCTATATATTTACAAGACAAAAAAAGAGTAAAGAATAATGAACAAAAGATAAAACAATATCGGTAATATAGAAAATATCCTTGATAATCAATCAAAGTAAAACTGACTCATAGTTTGCTGAAGTAGATATGATAATAGTACTTTAAATGTATCTAAGGAAATGAACAAGTAATTGTTCATTGATAATGAAGATAAAAACTTTTGGCGCCTAACTAAGAGCATTTGAGTCGGCCAATACATGGATAAAATAAATTCTAAATACGCAAACGGTGATAAATCCTACTTTCGGGGTAATTAATACGCTGTCTATGTAGATATGGTTTAGGAATAGGGTAAGATAACATCAGTTTCTGATCACTTCAATGTACAACATGCTGTTTATAAGTAGGAATAAACTAAAAACGGAACATGATATTGAAAAAGGCTATACAGCACTGAACCATAAACATCACTGAATGCTCCGAAACATGATTCGTTTTAACTAACGATTTGCCTGTAAAAAAAGACGGTCTACATTACTACTTTCGTCATAGTGAATCAACAGTAATCGACTAAAAAAGAACAGAAGTACAAATGCAGGTATCAATCAAATCTTTAACTTTAACACTTTTTAAAAATTACAAAGTGAATATCTCACTCAAGTGTGCATGTGAACAAGGAATAACCTTTCAACATTCATTTTTTTTACCTACATAAAATTACATTTTTATTGCATACCATGCAAATAAATGATTGACGCTTAACAGCTTTCACTTTCAAATTTTAGAAGAGAATAACATTTGTTGGCATTTCTTTTCTATGTACATCAAACCCCAGTAATGTTAACTAAATGATGTCAAATCACATGATTGATAGGTTTGTATGATAAGTTTAAGGAAAAATTAGTTAAGACCTTTCTTTTGATGATAACCTCACTTTTCATATATTATTTTAGCTGAATATGGCCAATAAAGATTTTTTAAATTGACCTAAAGAAGTACTTTGTTAGTACACTGTATTTTAATTACAATAATGGAAAAAATGAATTTTTATTTGTAATTTATATTTACACCGTTAGGAAATGCATTATAACAATTAAGTGCATAGAGGCATCTCATAAAATGTCTAATAATTTGCATGTGAAATTCAAATAGATTGCCAATATCATATGTTAAATTTGGTATTTTTCATTTCAATCATATGATCTATTATTTATTGATACCATTGGATCCCATGTTATCCAAATAAAAAAAAAAGGATACACGTAATGATACTTCTTTGGTTTATGTGTACTAGAGTGTATGCAATCAAACGGATTTTTCATTCAATTTTAATGGCTATAAAGTTACTAATACTTATCAGGATAATAATAATAATAATATCATAGTGAATATATGCACATAGTTACGGTTGAAATTGACTTTCAACTTTCAATGATTACAGCTGATAAATAATATTAACATAACATATTAAATATAGTCATGAATCAGAATATTTTACAACTGCAGCAAGTTAGCCGACTTTCTCAACATTTAACAATCACAAACTTTGTTGAGCTTTGAACACAGTGAATGAGTGAACATAAGTCGAGAATTTACATAATGGTTATATGTGAGTAAACAAACGAATGTTTATTCAAGCAGTAAAGGATGGGGTATAGATTTTGATAAGCTGTAAAATACAAGCAAACGTTGTGTAGGCCAGATTTAATTGCAAAAAAAACATGGATACATGATGAAAATTCTTCTGGAGTACACGTGAAACACTTGTTTGATTTTGATTTGAAAATACAATATTTTCATCAGGTTTATAAACATTTAATTGGAATTGTTGTACTCATCAAAACTCGTTAAACTCTCAATCACTTTACTAGCACCTTCCGAAATAATGTAGAACTATCACGCAACTTAACACTAAGCTAATGTAACTGACTGACTTTATACGTGAATGAGAAAATATTGAAGAACAGCTAGAACTTCACGAGACATACAGACAGCAACAATCATCGTGTTATAGCGTGGATCGATTTAAACTTGGCGATGAAGATTATTGGATTCCAACTTAAAGCTTATAATGAGACTTCAAGGGCTTGGGTTAAATCCCTAAAGAGTTATAAATGAAACACTCCTTAGAAGTCCCATGCTACAAAGAAACAGCTGAACAATGCAGCCTAGTTTCCAGTGGTACCTTCAAATCATATCAATTCGAGATGAATAATACCTAAAACGTAAATTAATCTCCACAATAGATCTTTGAGGCATTATTTATATTATTTTATAACATTCTTTAAAAATTATTTTTCTATTTGTTCGAAAGTCAGTAGTGTAAATAAAAACAAATAGTGTTATATATACATAAATTTTCTAGTAAATAAAATGGTTCTTTTATATCCAACCAAATAGAGAAATCACACAATCATGGCTAATTGTATAATAATGTAAGGCTAAGGCAATTCAGAATAACCTTCTTACCTTTGGTTTGCATACAATCAATATTTTATCGAATAAAAACAAATATCTGTAAATTGAACAGTAAAAACAAACAGGAAACAGTGAATCTGATAAGAAAAGGCAATAGGAAACAAACATATATACACATTTCACTTATTCATAAACCAATGTTTTGCGCTATAATAAAATTTAGTGAATTATGAATATTGAATACAAATTTATGTAGCCCAATTTGAGTTAGTATTTTGTGTGAATTCGAGCAATACTACTTCCCGATTGCCCAATGAGAAGTCAGAGAATAGGGTGCTAACCTAAAATGTAGTGACTAAAAGTTTACAATACCATATAGATAAACATAGAATAAGCCGAAATATATTGAGGAAGTCAATAAGATTCTCCTTTCAATGATTATAGAAGTATGGAGTCATATAATTAAATCTTAGATACTGAACACCATTCACAACAAACTGCAACATTGCCCGATGTAGATAATTGATGAGATTATATCTAATGATTATTTCAACCAAGTTGTCCGCATACGTTTCGAAAGAGGGTGTAGTTGAGGAATAAGTAGTAGTAACAGAACTAGTTGATGTGTTAAACAAAAGAACATACAATTAAGATGTATATATCTATACTGATTATAATCACATACTGTATTTCGAAAAATAATTTAATCCTACCAATCCTAAGCATAAAAGCACGTGTAAACAAACATTAGAATTATCAACTTTTTTGGTAATCAATGTTATTTTAATATATTTGCTAAAATTAATACTTGAAAAAAGTGAATAATAAATCAAATTATATCATAGAAAATGATAAAAACGCTTGAGATATGTATGTACGAAGAGAGTATTGGTTGAGTACAAAGAACATATACTCGGAAAAGTTTTTCTAAAGTAAACATTGAAGATAATAGTAAACAAACTATCTGACATAGCTTTTTGTTAGTAGTAGACTGATTTATGTATACATACCATTGAAATTCAATAAAATCTTTAGCCTCAAAAAGATCAACACAACAAACCCTCACTCTCTTTAAGTTACTGTGAATGTAAATCATATTCGTAACTACAGTGTAAAGAAAATGCTTAACGCTTTACGGCAGAAATTTTCCAGTTTCAATCATTATCTAATTTAACAAAATTTAGTCTGCTAATAAAGGTTAACCAAGTCAAATTACCAATCAACCTGTGTTATCCTCCTTATCCAGCTTTGTTAAATTTTTGTGTTGTGATGTGTTATAATGTTCGTAGTCAACGTAAATAGATAGGATAAGATTATGATTTAAAACAATCCATTGTAATTGTGTTATATAAATGGGTGAATAAATGGAAATGAAAAACTTTAGAAGCTATTTTTTTAGTGATAAATAAGCATAAACTTTTTAATGCAAATTCATAAAATAATTGATTTATGGTATTTTCATTGTGGTGGTGTTTCGTTCTCTGAGCCGGATGTTTTGGTTGTGGAGCTTTCATTGTTCTTCCGAACAACATCATCGGCACAAACTTCAGATAGAAGTTTTCATATTTGCCTAATTGCAACATTTCATTTGATCCGTTAACTTATGTCACATTTTCTTCTATTCATAAATTACAGTTAATTTTTTTATTAACCTATGCTATAATGTCCCAGGCTTTTACGTATTATTATTTATTATTTATAGTGCATCATGGTCTCCAAATTTATCTGCATAATTACACGAGTCTTGAGTTTCAGTATTACTTCATACATATACCCTTAGATATGACCTTCTTGAAACATAATATTCTGAATGTTTAATCTTTTTCACTAGTATCTCTATTCAAGTTATTTCAACTCTTTTGCTACCCTGTTTGATAATTCCATCTTGTTGTGCTGATGTAGTATAGCTAGTTCGGCTAACACACATTCGTGCCAGGAACCGAGTTTATTATAACTGGTTGATTCAGAATAAACTAAAATAACTAATCGTTTGGGTCAATGAAATAAAAATAATGATACAAACAATTCTAAAACCCTTAAACTATGTTGTAAATCTTAATCCAATATGAAATGGTTTGGATTACCTCGTTGTTGATATTTTGGCTGATATTTAATCAGTCTCTGATGACATGTGGGCATCCTATGTGGCTTGCCTCGATATAGCCATTATGGCACAAGACTGATAAAATTTTATTCAAAGTAACAGCCACGGGATAATCCAAACCATTTCAAACTGCGTTAAAATCATAATCCGTTGTACAAGTGAGTAGCTATCCAGAATCAGTATCTACGCAGATAACGTGACGGCGTTTGAAGTAAACGGTACTGAGTTCGAGTCCCTAAGTGAAAATTAACCCCAACATGCAAGTGTAAATCCAGCTGCTGAGTCCCAAATGGATGAAACGCGAATCCTAGATTCCCCTGCTAGCCACATTCTATCCTATTTTATAAAAACACGTTGTAAATCATTTTCTTGTATCTCCCCGTTTCGGATGTTCAGGATTGCAATTTCTTAGTTTCTAAAGTTATATATGTGCATCCTGAGTGGATCGCCTCAGAATTATCATTTGATTACAAGCTTTTATTAAAGTTGGTTCAGAAATAGCAGTGGAATCCATGACATTTCATTCCATTTGTAAGTCCGCTTGAGAGAGATATACGTATAAGTACAATCTTATTATTACTGCTTTAGTAAAAACACTACAATATTTAAAAAGCGTCACAACGAAATTACTTAAGCTATAAGATAAAATTTCAATGTATATATAACCTTACAATAATGTTATATTACCTTGTTTTAGCTTTGCTTTCTGATTCGGAAAGAACTTTCACTTCACCATCCATATGTAAATGCCCATAACTTGATAACCTCTTATCTGGAGGCTGGAAATCAAACAAATAACACATAACTAGCAATACAAAATGACAATGTTTTTAATTGATTTTATTTAGTTAGAACAATTAAGTATAGAAAATATTAGCTGATAATGATATATAAAGCTTTTAGCATAAAAACTTAAAGACCATGTTTCCGCGAATTACAAAATACAAGTATGACGCTAACATATTTGAATAATGTTCTGGTATTTGACTGAAACTAGAACAATTACATTATGTAATAATGATGAACAAAAACATATTATTGGTTATATTTTAGCCAAAAGTGTAATGTAACAGAAATTTGTATTTTTTTAAAATGTGAATCAAGAAACAAATTAAACTAAATATACTGAAGTATCTCAAATAAATATGAAGTGAAATTTTAATAAGCTTGTAAAATAAATGGGTAGTTTCATTGGCTTGCTAGTTCAACTGTATTAAACTGTATAAGAATACGCCAAACTACTACTAATCAATTACACTGTCCTCATTAAACTGGTACAATTATGATATAAGTTTAGATATTAAACTAGAAATATTGAGGAAAAACTGAAGATCGACATAAAGTGACCGTTTATTGTATCGCAGAATTGTGAGATCCAGATCCGGCGGTAGCTGCTACTTAGTGGTTGATTTTGCCTATCTTGATAACCAAGCTGACTGTCGATGGGCGATACAGTAGTAAGATATCTTCTGACAACCTTAAGCAACAGTTCAAGCAAGTTTGGGATGCGATTCTCACCTTTCAAATCAAAAATGCTGGTTCAGTATTGTATTGCGTCGGCACCCGAACTAGTAATAGGGATTGAAGTAGTTGAGCATGTTGACCGCTCCACTTATTGCTGAGCAGTAGTTCGCTACGTCTTATGTCACGGGTGTGAAGGATGGCCACTAGGGATAGATATTCGTAGGTCACAAATATTCGATCTTAGATGTCCACAAAGCGTTGCTCGTGTACTCTGTGAATCTTCATCAGTTGGGGTGGTTTGGACAAGTTTTACGTATGCCCAACCACTGGCTATCTCGAATGATTGGTATTGTCCGGTGTAGAAGCAGGTTAAAAAAACCAACGGCGGCCAAACTAATACATGGCACCTGTCCATGAAGCTATGGATGGTTGAACTAGGCCATATTTATAGGTGTAAATACCTTGTTATAGACGTTGAATAACAGGGCTCAAAATCATTTGCAATGACGCAGGTGCATCCATTCTTTAGCTTCCTCCAAATTCTAAAGTTGTGAATTCCTCATAATAATTTTTTGTTTTACATTGCATTAACCTAAATTTTCTTGAATCATATCTGTGATACCTAATTTTTCCTATCAACACAGATATTGAAACTACCTCTATTACTCTAGGATTTGACCCGACAATCTGATCTTTTTGTGTTAACTGGGTATGCCAACTTACACTTATGTAAGTACGTACCAAGTTTCAAGTAACGTCTGACCGATTGGATTGAGATTCCCTGAAACTATATTGATCTACATAACAAAGTAGGCTGCTTAGTTCACCTGCGTATAACAAAGTCGATAAATTACTTAGCACCGGAACTAGTACACCATTACTTCCAGCCGTATGAAGAAGCAATATGTGCAACGAAATTTAACTTTTTCTGAGTAATCGTCGAAGCCTGAATATATAGATGGTTCGTGAATATCTTCAAGTGAAGCTAAGTCTTGGTAGCATATAGTGTATTGGTTCGACAAATGTACTGAAAAATAGTAAAAAGTACAAACATTCCGCATGCACTGAAGATAAAAATAATGTAGGAATGGTTTTTGAGGATTGTATATCTTGAGAATCAAAACAGCATTAAGACCGAAAAACAAATGTTTCTTTGTTGCTGATAAGATATTCAACGTATAAACTCCAAAACTTCATGATTTTCATAAAGTCTATGGATAAAATGTACTATCTGCAACTATATTTCTGGAAATTTCAGTAATTTGAAATGTAGAACGAACAGATAATAATTAGGAATATTAATATTAATTAACAATAATAGATTATCGGGAAGAGTTTTGGAGGTTTGTGTTTTTTTACACATTTGAAATCAATCAATCATTGTTAGACTAGTGACTAGCTTCGTGAGGAGATTCTCAGAGTTCTAGTTGGGAAGACGTGACCAATGGAGTTCAACCGTGTCGGGTGTAGACAGTAACTACCAAAGACAAATGGGTGAGGTCGCGCAAAATCTCTAGATCAATCAGAGTTAGACATTAACACCGTTGGATGCCGGCCCAGTGGTCCGATGGTTAGGCGTTCGCGCACAATACCGAAGGTCCAGGGTTCGAATCCTGCGAGGTGCAGGAGTCGTGGATGCGCACTGCTGATGAGTCCCATGCCAGGACGAAACGGCAGTCCAGTGCTTCCAGGTTTCTAATGGTGGTCTAACAATGATTGATGGATGATTTCAAATGTGTAAATAATAGATTAGAAAATAAATTCCAAGTTTACATTACAGTATTAGTAGCTGAAACGCATGTTGAAGTCCCAGTCTACTTACTTCAATACTCTCGCAACAAAAATCTGGATTAAACTTAAGTTACATGATGACAATTTAATTTTTCAGTGGGCTATTTGTTGGCAGCATTTACACTTATTATTACATAAATTCACCTTCAATTGTCAATGGTAAGTTTACATTGGTTTTCAGGAGAACCAGACACTACCCACATGTTAACACTACAACGTGGACAGTAAAGCTCAATCCTGTGGTGCAACTATTCAGATACCTGACACCCTGGTGGATCTTTCACATCATTTAAATAAACCAATACATACAGTGATTATTTCTGATCCGTGATCGCATCAACCAATATGCATAGCATAAACAAGCCATTTAGACCCATCTCACTTACATGACTGTCAAACTCATTATTATTAGCAACGGTGATCTGCAATACAGCACCCCAATGACAATGGAATGTTGCAAGATAATCACCAGTATCAAAGAAATCGGTTACCCTGCGAACCAAATTTGTGTATGGACTATTACCAAAGCTTGCCAAAGTAATGTCAAACCATCCACAATGTTCACAACAGACCTCTGGTCTCATAGGAAACCTTCAGCTCTATATAACATCAACACGTACTTCATCCATTATAGTAATATAACATAGTGGTTAACTGATTCCACGAAACATAAATTGGTCAGTTAATTGTAAACAGTGCATAACTTGGTACATACGTACATCGGTTCGAGTTGTTACACTATATCAGCAAAGTGAGATGAAGTAGCCAAGATGAATGACAGATTAGTAGCGACAGTATCAGAAAACATTAAGCACAAACAATGTGATTAAAGAGGAAAAAGTGAGTATGTGTAATGTAAAGTATACGATAATTTTAAAATTCGAGATTGAATAGAGGATAAAGAATGAAACTATCGGCGATATTATGATAGATTTAGAATCATTCCATTTAACGTATTCAGCCAGTGGTTATGATAATTACACGAGTCCCAACTAGATATATATCAATAGCTCTGAAATTACTAAGACTCATTTGTAATAAATATTTAAAAACTGAAAGTTAGATTTAATAAATTTCAACGATTAGTATAATTCCAAACAAGATTTCATGAAGAATGTCTAAAACTGATTAGTGGTGGAAATGCACACCACCACTGAATACCATTTACTCAGTAGTCAAAAAACTACAGCGCTTCTCATGAAAACTGCTAATTTTGCCATGTTTAATTCCTAGTGACACTATAAATATCCACTGTTATGGAATTCTGTACTAGGATAAAACAACCAACTAGTACTACCTAGGTCATCAGCTGATATCGAATAGTGCTGAAAATCATCCATATATTAAACAAGTCACCGTATGTAAATAAATTTTTGAAAAAAAATTCAATTCATACAAATACACAAACTCAGTAATGCTGAAACTCCTTCTTGGATCTACTTTATCTATGATATCTATCTCAAACAGAAAATATTCGTTGATTATATAGGCATATAAAAGTATATTTTCTCGATAATATTATCCAAACAAGAAAAGATTTAACAAGTCACATGATGTGGCAAAGCTGTAATTAACTAAATGGATTAGTAACCTAACCAAGGTCACTACATCCCCCTTGTCTGTTCGCTGTTTGAGTTATTGCGACCTCCTATGAATAAACATTACAGAATACAACACGGAATACATAGTTTATTTTCCATCAGCATATATTCAATATGATGAAGAGTTGAAAGAATACATTGTTGGTAATTGAATCTAATTGCATAATATAAAACAGTCCTTTATTAAATTCTAAAACTAAGCATAAAAGTCAATCATTAATCAATCTTCATACTGTGAAAAAAATGGAGAGAATTTTCATCTCCCTAACAAATTACGTAAAGCTTGTCAGAAAATAACAGTGAAGAAAGAAATCGATTCATAAATGAGATGGAAAATAGACTTATTTTTAAAGAAATATTTATGAATTAATAAAAAAGGACACGAAACGATTATATATATATATATATATATATATATATATATATATATATATATATATATTTATACGCTTAATTTTACTTCTCTCGAGATAGTTTGTTTTTTTAAAGACGATGACCTTTTATTTGACAATTTGAAATGAAACATTATACAGAGAAAGCCAATAGAATTCTTGTACAAATACGATGATATTTATTTTAACATTCGCACTTCATTCGTTTCACTATTAATTTCTTTCATTATTGACTTCTACCATGGCAAAGTAAACTGAAACTGACTATGTCTATATTAGCTTGGTATGTCACGTGATATGCTCTTGTATTTTTTTTATCATTATTTCAAGGGTAATAATCAAAAATGGGAAAATGTATTATCATGACAATTATCTTCTAGTAAAGAATCATCTTATTAACTGGCTGCCATATGCGAACACATTATTTATTAAAAATTTACCCAAATACAGTGAAAAGCCGCGAAAAACAATTAAAATATTACACTGTTACTCACCAGCATAATTTCAAGTAAACTGTCAAAATAACAAAAGAAAAAGAAAGAAGATATGGAGCAAGCACAACACTGATGCATAAGAAAAACGTTTAACTAAAGAAAACAATTTATCTAGTAAATAAATTGTTTTGTAGAGTCAAAGCTGCCTTAAGTTAAAATTGAGATATCGAGTTTAGTTTGATGTATAAACAAAAGAGCTAAAGACATGGAATTTCTCAAGTGATAATGGGTATTTAGAAGTAGGTCAACAATAGATATATCCCTAACATTGTGAAAAGAGAATTTTAAAGAAATGAACGATGATAATTTCCTCACATTTATGTCTGATTAACTTAGCGCGTCGATGGCTGGTAGAGGAGTAAACTTAAAAAAACTAGGAGCGGTCCACCAGTTAAGGTTGCCACACCACATAAGCACAGAGATGCAATTGTCAATTCAAATCCAACAGCAGTAGAGGTGGTAGAGGTATTAGCAGTAGTCGGAGAAGTTGGGATTAGATGTTATTCAAGAAGTAGAATGTAGTGAAATAGACTTAAAAATATAAAGTGATGAAGAATTAAAAAGTCTAGGGTTTCAGGGAATACAAAGGATGAATGCACCTGCGCCATTGCAAACGGTTTTGAGCCATGTCATTAAGGGTCTCTAACCATCGATTACTAACATATCGCGGACACCAACCACGTAGTCGACAGCTACCAACATGACTCAGTCCACTTGTCAGTGACTTCATGGATTTTTGCCATCTTTTGGTCTCGCCGCCCTTAGATTTCGTCCAACTTATTCCTACACTGCAAAATATAGTTCGACGAGGCAGTCGGTGGTTAGGCATACGCAACACATGTCCCGACCACCTCAACTGATGAAGTTCCACTACTTCATCTATTCATCTGCCGTTCCTACCTAACACTCACTTCCCAACGACAGCATTGATTACTCGGTTGTCCCACGATACACGAGCAATCCTTCGGAGACATCTACAATCGAATACTATTAATTTACGAATATCTTCCACTCTTACCAAACATGTTTCACACCCATAAAGTAAGACGGAGCGAACTGCTGCACAGTAAACTCGTCCTTTGGTTAACAAACGGATATCTAACCGACGACATTTGTGACGCGGCATGGAAAAAGCCAATCGAGCCTTCGGTATCTGTGCTCAGATTTCGTCACAAACCAGGTCATCAGCACTCATGAGACTCCCAAGGTAATTGAAGCGGTCAACACGCACAACTGCTTCATTCCCTGTCACTAGTTCAGGTACCAACGCAAGTCAATCTTGAAGCGAAATTTCGCATTTCGAGGAGGGGAAAACCACATCCCGAACATGCTTGCATTGTTCTTAGGATGGTCAGAAGTCTCTGGATCTAGTCAGCGACTTCACAAAATAGAACCGTCATCGGCATATTTTAAGTCAACAAACGAACAAACGAAACTCCTGAAAAGTCAGAAGATACAAGTTTCATTCCTGAACGCACGTCATAAACACGAATGGAGAAAGAATGTGGACAGAATTGACGAACACCACTTGAAGTTATCAATTCTGATGAGAGTTCGCCATAAGCTCTGACTCAACCAGTAATGTTTGAGTAGAGAACCTGTACAAGGTTAATGTACCTCTTTTGCATGCCTTTTAATCACAGAAACTACCAACGAGCCTCACAACCAACACAGTTGAATTCCGCCTTAAGTTCAAAGAAGACAACTGTGGTCGGACGCCTAAATCTGTGTCTGTGTTCTAGGACCTGACGTAGTGTGAATATATGGTCTACACATCCACGTCCAAGTCGTAAACGAGCCTGGTTTTTTACATCCCTATACAGTTAGCAGTACGACTTCATACCCAGACCTTCAGTTGCTGATTTTAGTCATACATTTCTCCAATCAACCTGCCTGACATGGTAGAACCTAGAGGAACATATGTTCCAGCCAATATAGCCCGGTTTGGTCATAACGATAGGCAAGCTCGACCACCACGTCAAGATATCAACTACGGTCAGGTGCCAATAAGTTTTATTGATTTAAGTAATCGACCCTCGATTAAACCAATTGTATAATTCTTTATGAAGAAAACCTTATTCGTTTTAATATCATAGGCCTTGGTTCCTGAATGGACACAACTAAAGGTTGCACTTAAACTTATAAGCCATTGAATCGGTAAATTTATTCTATACAACCCCAAGTATCAACCGAATGCGTTTACAACTATCCTAACTAGGCAACAAATAATTTATTACTCAACAATTACAAGTAGCCGATACTTCTGCGAAAATGGTGAAATTTAATTATTAATGTAAAAAATAGGCTACACGATTTTAATCTATTGATTAAACGACAAAACAAACCTGGATTGAATTTGATCAATGGAGCTAATTGTATCAAGATCTCGTTTAACATCATTGATAGATAATGCAACTTCACGCATAGCTTCATGAGCTACAGTTAAATCATGACGGTCGTAGTGGTCAGCTGGGGTGAGTTTACAAAGATGCTGAAATTCGAGAAGATATTTAATTTATTCATTGAAAGTTTATTGATCGAAAAATACTTGATAAACGATAACATTGAACCAAAAATGTGTTCAAAAAAATCAGTGGTTGAGTTTACTCTCTAAGAGAAATCTCTGTTTACTTGGGAAAACGGAGACGACCAAGGAATGAAAACATTTGATACAAGATAATATATTGAAGCAAATTCCTAATGGGTTGATTATCATAGACTTGCAGAGGAGGTTTTGTGGAAACTGGTTTAATTTATAGGTTGCATTTACCAAAAATGACCTTAGCTCGGGAACCGTTGAAAACCAGGTAACAGTGAGTAGACATTTTCTGCTAGTTTGGTAAACCTAAGAAGCGCTCACCAACAACCCATATTTACTAGGCTTCCTATGTTATGGATTGATTGAACTGGAAATTGTATCACTGCACACTGAACCAACAGTTTTGACGGTTAAAGGCTCTTAGTTCAATCTCTGAAGGAGTCATGAGTGTGCAATGCTGAAGAGTTCTACACCAAGGCGAAACAGATTACTATTAGATTTCGATGATGTTCGCACCGAAGTCAATCCGTGGTAAATACAACCAATAAATAGTACCAATCTCCGAAAACCCGTCCAAATAAACTATACTGGTCAACTGACTTGTAACCTATTTTAATATGTTTCTAAAGTTCTAGTGAAGTCGTAACTATTGAAATTCCGACAAATCTTAAAGGTAACAGTTGTAACTAGCCAAGGTAATATCCAAATGTGAAGATGACTTGGTACAAAATAGCATAATCGAATTGAATTTTTAATTAGACTCGCAAAATAATTTCTTAAGGGTATTTATATTATTGTACTTGGCATTAAGTCAGACTCTAGGTTTGAAGGTCAATGATACCATCCGACCGCCCAGGCCGAATCCGATGGCTTGGATTTGAAATTTCGACTTATTGGTTGAAAGTAAAACTCCTTAACCACTGAGCCACTGCTCCCATATAAAACTATTGGAATAATAATTTAGCCAATGAAATAAACACTAAAAATGTGAATTAAATTTTATGGAAAAAGTTATATTTTTGCGAATGTGTGTTGAGGAATTTCAGAAAAATTAAAAAGAATGAAACTCGTTGTCCAAAAAATGTATTCATGAACGTCGTATTACCAAAATTTCAATCAGTATCTATCATCCATAGAAATCCGCCTCTACATGTTTCAAATAGTTTTATGAAATTGAATTAGAGAATAAGCAATAAAATAAAATGTTACGTAATATTAATAGAATAATAGCTTATCAAAAACACATATGAAGCTCACCTCTAACAAAAGATGATATTTTAAAACACGTTGAATTGGTATTGTAAGTAATTCAGCCAAAGCGAATTTATTATATTTCTCCGAATTTGACTGACATAACTAGAGGTGAAGAGTTTTTGGAAAATGTAAAATTAATGGCACCATTAAAATATAGCAAAACTCAAGAGATTGTATAAATATATCTTTGGTACTTTTGTTTTGTAAACCTGAACCTTAAAAAGGTTATTATCATGAGCTGACAACTCTTAAACAGAGAAAATTAATGACCCTAAATCCACACAGATTTTACAGTTGAATCAACTTTAAATCGTCCAAAATTCGTTTGCATTTCCCACATTCCTATTAAAACCGCACACTGAAATAATGATAGAAGAATTATATCCTTATTAAATATTGGAGAATATAGTTAATTTAGAAGTAGATCCCAACAAGCTTTTCCAAAATAATAACAAGAATTTTTTTGAAAATGCTTCAAAATGTAAAGGAATTTCACAACTAAGTGCTGTTAAACCGTTAATGCAAACTGAATTTATATATATATATATATATATATATATATATATATATATATATATATATATATATGGTCATAAAAGTAATGCCTTATCTCCCAGTGTTAACTGAATTAGGTGGAGTGATGAATAAGAAAGAACTAAAAAGCTAAATGATACAACATTCATCACCAATAAATACATAACAATAAAAAATATACTGTATAGAGAACATTACTGAGAATGCTAAGTAACTTTTGTCCAAAATCAAGATATCTCATAAAAATAAACAAGATGTGCAGTAGACACACACACGTACAGAAACAAAGTGAAAGAAATCGACAACATTAATCATTATAACTTACCTCTATTTTGTTACGTTTTTCCACATCATTTCGCATAATCTCATAGACTAAATTTTGCGCATGTTGCAAATGACCACAATATTCTCCATATATTAGTAGATTATCTCGAGTTTTGAGAAAAACATCACTTAAACTAAGAAAATTCACAGTTGCGCTAGTTGCCAAACTTAGATTACTTAGAAATTCTCTGTGAATAGTATGTAATTCCTGATTAAATCCATAATAAAAGAAATAAAACAAATGTTATAAATATCAAAATAATACGCTTACGGATTAGATACATTTAGAGTACATAAATTAGAAATTAAATACAGAATCGAATTATTTCAAAAGAGATTCCCAAAATTTAATATATGCTAGGAACGGAATGCCTAAAGCTTAGAAATATTAGGTACTTAGTTTGATACTCGATAATATGTACTCTCTATTACTATAATAATCAAATCTCTTATGTTCGATAAGCAAATGAACTATATATAGGCCAGTGAGATGGATTGATCATTCTGTAGTGTTATTGAAAATAACTAATATAAGTCTGAAGTGAAGACATGAGCATCGAACTTAAAAATGTAACTAGTTATTATGGTAAAGGAGATGGAAAATGGTGAACATCTAAAATTTTTGGTTTAAATCAGAATGGGATATATTTTTCTTTAATTTTTATTGTACAGTAGCTGAGTTGATGAACTAATGAGAGTCTTGGGAAGTAATGAGTTGTAGCACTGAAAATCTTACAAAGACGCGAGTCACATTAAATCAGTAATTATTCATAAAACATGGAGGAATCTATGTCGAAAACTACACTCAATAGATCTGGTCAATTCACCCTCTGTTGTGCTATATTTTGGCTGAGAAATGGTAAAAATAAAGGACCACTCTCATTCATGAAGCAATGATGAAACTATAGTGTGAACAAACAATGAGACTCTCTCAATCAGAATAGAAAGTTCTATGAAAACTCTATTTGGATACTTGTATGTTAATAAGTAATGGAATTTCGGCACCGATACGAAGTCTTTACTTAACTTTTACGAACTATGCACACGGAGGATGGGTAAGTTGTGCAACAATTTACTTTTTATTAATTCATGACTGTAAAGTATGACCTAAGAATTAGGAGTTAAGTTATAGTTGAAACGGATAAATAACCAACGTCTTCTCATATGTACTCTGCTGATTAGCATATAAGATGGTAATGGGCAAGAAAAATCATTCCAAGACATAAAGTAGGCGAACTGGAATAGTACCAGTAACCAACTTAATTTTAAATTTTCAAAATTACGTTTTCACTTGGGAGTAAATAAAGTATCTTTTTGAGAATAAAGTGGATATACAGATCATGTTTACATTTCAAGACGCTTCACTGGTTTAGAGGAAACTGTCTCAAATTATCCTTCAAATAAATCCAAATCATGTTAGCACGATAATATCAATGTTTTATAGAATTAATAATTAAAACCAAGTGTAAAGAGTTTTTTTCTAGCTTCTAGATGGTAATTACCTCAATGTACTTGAAAATCTCTTCGATTTCATTGTGCGAAAGAACTCCAATAAGTGGATGCTTGTATTTCTAAATTGGGATATTAATAAATAAATTATTCGACTTTCTGAATTACCTCAATTAACATTTTCAACACATCTACGTAATTTTTTTCCGTATCAACTATTTCACGAATACAGTATGCTCGGGCTGTTGTAGGTTCAGAGTCCAAATTCTATGTTGACAATATGGAATAAAAGTTTCAAAACAAAATATAACATTACTATACGAGACTTTGAACCTTGATACACCACTGTATCATAGAGTTTTTCTTTATTCTCTTCTTCCATTTGAGTGTAATTCGGTTTTCCGGAGTCAGGTAACTTATTCCTACAATAAATTATGACAATAATAAAAACAACGGCAGGATATTATTATCTACATTGCAGCAGCAATTTCTTCAAGATTATTATAATATTCATGAGTGGATTGTAGCTTTGAATTTTCCGGTGGAAAACCACTATGTTTTGAAATAAATGATATGAGAAATAATGGGACATACGGTATTCCAGTTAACTGTGCTCTTCTTGAACATGATAATTTCGATAACGTCACTATGGCTTTTCCAAAATTTTTGGCATGATAAATATCAGCAGGTTGAAATAGTAAATTTCTGGGAATATCAAATTCTTTTTCGCATAATTGTGTAAATAGTCGAAGATTTTGAAAGCATAGAAACTGAGAATTTTGTGGCATATGGCTAAAATCTTTCATCGATCTTATATCTAATTCGTGATTTGATAATGTGCTTAAAAGATGGCATAAAGCAACCCCATCCATTAAGGCTTGGACTAAGTGAATAGCATTACCATCTGGCCCTAAAACCGGATGGTCATCTGGGATAATTTGACATCTGTTTAGCCATTCAGCACACTGTCTCCAATCATCTTCCTCTTCCATAATAGTTTTCTAATTTACTACAAATAATACAAAAGAAGCAACAATATGAGCATAAAAATTGTACCCATAAAAGTGTTATGTAATCATAGAAGGAAGTTTAACAATACTACTACAGACTATATCCGAGGTAAATAAAAAAAAATTAAAATCTTACTGTAATTGAACTATTATGACTGTTATCAAACAAATCGGAGGGTGCATATCTCTACTTGGAGTGGCGTTTTTCATGAATTTGTAGTGAGATTATTACATAAAGCACTTTGTATAGATATGATACTCATCAATTATTGATTTGATATTGAGAATGATGCGAGTGAAATAACTAATTGTATCCTTATCTACATAGATACCTGCTAATCCAAGAGTCGTCTATCGGTTTAGCGTAAGCAATTAGTTAGGTTTCTGTTTTCAAGAACCAAATATCAGACTGAAAATTGAATTTTATTAGCAGCTTGTGACTTGACACTAACATCCAAATCATTAAATAGTGAGAAATTTACAACATTCCGAGGCACGAAGGAGGACAACAAAGCAACACATGCAGAAACGCACCTACCTTTTGGACAATATGTTCAATCAATCAATAGCAACGTAGAACTTCGTATGTACGTACACCAGTTAATGTTGCCACACCACATAAGCACAGAGATGCAATTGTCAATTCAAATCCAACAGCAGTAGAGGTGGTAGAGGTATTAGCAGTAGTCGGAGAAGTTGGGATTAGATGTTATTCAAGAAGTAGAATGTAGTGAAATAGACTTAAAAAATATAAAGTGATGAAGAATTAAAAAGTCTAGGGTTTCAGGGAATACAAAGAATGAATGCACCTGCGCCATTGCAAACGGTTTTGAGCCATGTCATTAAGGGTCTCTAACCATCGATTACTAACATCTCGCGGACACCAACCACGTAGTCGACAGCTACCAACATGACTCAGTCCACTTGTCAGTGACTTCATGGATTTTTGCCATCTTTTGGTCTTAGATTTCGTCCAACTTATTCCTATACCGCAAAATATAGTTCGACGAGGCAGTCGGTGGTTAGGCATACACAACACATGTCCCGACCACCTCAACTGATGAAGTTCCACTACTTCATCTATTCATCTGCCGTTCCTACCTAACACTCACTTCCCAACGACAGCATTGATTACTCGGTTGTCCCACGATACACGAGCAATCCTTCGGAGACATCTACAATCGAATACTATTAATTTACGAATATCTTCCACTCTTACCAGCCATGTTTCACAGCCATAAAGTAAGACGGAGCGAACTGCTGCACAGTAAACTCGTCCTTTGGTTAACAAACGGATATCTAACCGACGACATTTGTGACGCGGCATGGAAAAAGCCAATCGAGCCTTCGGTATCTGTGCTCAGATTTCGTCACAAACCAGGTCATCAGCACTCATGAGACTCCCAAGGTAATTGAAGCGGTCAACACGCACAACTGCTTCATTCCCTGTCACTAGTTCAGGTACCAACGCAAGTCAATCTTGAAGCGAAATTTCGCATTTCGAGGAGGGGAAAACCACATCCCGAACATGCTTGGATTGTTGTTTAGAGTGGTCATAAGACTGCATGTTGTCAGCGTCTTCACCAAATAGAACTACGTCATCGGCATATTATAAGTCAATAAGCGAGCCTCCTGGTATAAGATCCACTCCTGATTATTCAGACAAGGATAAGGTTATTTCTAGGAGCATGTCTATGATAAAATTAAACAAGGATGGGGAAAGTAGGCATCTCTGACGGACACCACTTGAAGTAGAGAATTCAGATGACAGTTTGCCATAAACTCTCACTCGACCGGTAGTTTTAGAGTAGAGAGCTTGTATAAGGTTAATGTACTTCTTTGGTACACCTTTCAATGACAGACACTGCCACAGAACCTCATGATCCACTGAGTCAAATGCCGCCCTAAGGTCCAGGAAAACAACTATTGTGGGAAGCCTAAATGTGTGTCTATGTTCCAGGACCTGTCTTAGTGTGAAGATGTCGTCTATATAGCCACGTCCAATTCTGAAACCAGCCTGGTTTTCTCTAGTCTGCTCTTGACGAACTCTACTTAGGCGTCTAAGGATTATCAAGACTAACAATTTAGAAACTATATTAGTTAGACTTATTCCCCTGTGATTGTCACAAGAAGACTTTTGTCCTTTCTTATAAATTGGGACAATCAAGGATTGAGACCAGTCATATGGGAGTGCGTCCAGTTCCCGGATTCTACCTAAGATCTCAGTCAATCTAACTGTTAAAACTGGACCACCATCCTTAAAAATCTCAGGGGTTAGCATATTAGGACCTGCTGCTCTACCTCGCTTCAGACTTTCTATCGCTTTCTCAACTTCATAAAGATTTGGGGGACTTACGTCGATTTGCAATTCAGGATGACTGGGGATCGTGGGCAAACGAATTGTGGCTGAAGGCCAGTTGAACCGATCCCTAAAGTGTTCTGCCCATCGGTCCAGTCTCCTGGATTGGGATCGGATAATAAGACCATCCTTTTCTGAGATAGTTTCACTGACATTCCGGTTCCTAATACCAGTTTCCTTGATGAGTCTGAAACAAA